AGAGATTCAACTTGTTTCTGTTATTCTTGTTGAATGGAGAAAGCTTGAGCTACGGTAGGTTTTTAATCGTCTTTCTTTTTTTGCCTCCTGAATCATTTGCATAAAATGATGGAGGGCATCTAACAGTCAGGTATAGATTCATAAACTTGATTTATATAATTTTAGTATATAAGAAGCAACGATAGAGATAAGTCTGCTTATTTTATTTAAGCTAGTGATCATTGCAGTAATTTATTCCCTTTCTGGCTCAGTATGGTAGAAAAAAGGGGATAAAATTGCTACGTTACTCAAAATCCTATAATCTCTTCCACCGAGTGTGCTGATGAGACAGATGAGGTCGAAACTACAGTCCAGATTCAATTTTTGGAGGCAAGGCTAAATGAAAGTCATCGTCATTTACTCACCTCATTGTTGCAACAAGTAATTATCAGTCCTTTAATTACCTTAAAGAATGTTAGGTGACTCATCTCCAAATCATAAATGTCTAAAGGCCAAAAGCCAAAGTAGTCAGTAAATAAAACTAGCCAGAATAAATTCAACATGATTAGTACACGTTGAAAATATTGTGAAATCGTCAAAACTCAGAAAAATCACATTTTTATTCTCTTTTTTACCTCACATAGACATTCTTTCTTCCCTTCTTTCTTAAGATGCTGGATGGCAACATTAGATTCAGTCCAGCGTCAAATGAGCGAAAAATGTGCCCCTATCTGGTTTCATCTTTCTAGAATTCTTCTTACTACTAACGATGGGCACCATTTGTCAGATAAAGATTCATCAATCCTAGCTGATATATTGACTCAATTCGAGAGTTCGCCCTCCAATCAAGCAAAATCTTCCGTACCAGTTAAAAAAAATGAGGTTTCGGAGACCCTCAAACAGGCCTCTGCTATTTTAGAGTTGCTGCAGGCCGGACCGGTAGGAGAGTTTCCATCTAGATTGCGCCTCTTGGCTTATTTTAGAGATGCAATTGCCGTATGGCCAAATACGCCAGATCATGGTTTGTTTCCTGTCTTGTTATTTGTCCACATATCCACCTAATTCATTTTATTATCCTCTCTCATCTTTTGTGATAAGCGCATGCTTTTCCCACTTCGTTTTTTGCACTAATTTTAGGACTGCATTTATGGCTCCTCATTGCTCAATTATAGAAAACAAATTTCTACTAGTCTTCTTATATAACCTTATATAACCTTATATATACCTCATTGCAGCACAGATGATTTAGTATAGCATGACACTTCTCAAGTAATATATTTATAATCACAATTATTTTATTAGCTTAGCTTTCTCTTGCTTATTTCCTCACCATTTCCCTATGTATCCCTTCTCCTTCATACCATAACCCTCAGTTCGGAAAGTAGGTCATCGTATGGTCTCCAACATCGTTTGGTTCTACAGTCAGTTTTTGTCACCAGTTTCCCGATATATTAAAGAAGCACGTCTTCCAATTCAACGCGAGATGAGCCAGTTTGTTCGCCTGATGCGCTGGGGTGATTATGCCAATTTTTGGGCTATTAAGGCCAATGTAAACAGAGCAAAGAAGACCATGCATAAACTGGTCAGTTTAGTTTGTTTTGATCCTTAGCTCCAAACTTTACTTTCAGAGCCTGATTCATGATTTTTTCTTTTTGCAACTTTTCAATGTCACATCTATGTGTGGGGCAATCGAGGAGGATATTCGTTTTTTGTATAATTTTTTTCTTTATAGGTTTGGTCTACACCTTCGCAACCTTTTGATTTGCCTGGAAGACAACTCTCATGAACAATTGTTACGCTTTTTAATTCTAGCAATTTATTATTAGATCAGGACTTTGATTGTTTATTCCTTCAACCTGTTCCCAGTTATAATTTTTATCCCATTCTGATTATCTAATCAATATTTGTGCCGACAGACTAAGTCATGGGAGACCATTCTTCAGCGTCCCGTAGGCCCAATTTTCGATGATGTCATGCTACGGTCAGACCAGATCTGGTGGCAAAAGTCAGAGGATTATCTCTCTTCTTCCCTTGGACCCCTTCCCAAAAACGAAGTGAAGAGAGCGTTTGTTGACGAATCGTTTCCGTTGACTTGTGATGACGATCAGGACGCTTTGGATATAAAAATGAAAACACAGGAACCTCTATATTGCTGCAAATGGACTCCTGGATTTGGCTTACCTGAAAAAATTCATATCGAGTTAACCAATGCTGGGATGATCAGCGAACATATTGCTGGTTTACTGGCATCGCTGAAAGACCAGGGTCAAGACCGAATGTATTCCAGAATGAGGCAAGTTCACTTTCGTGACGAATATTTGCACAAAGATTTTCCAAAGTTTATTTTTTTTAAAGTTGCGTAAATTATCATAAAGTCGTATCTATTCATCTATATTCATCTATTCATCTATTGATCTTTGAAATGGCCTGGTTTTAAAAGTCATTTGCCGCATAAATCAGAACAGCTTGACGGAAAATAACATCTGTCCGGTAATTAGGCAGTATTTTGCCTAGGTCAGCTACCTTAATTTCGCAACTTCTTTTGATTTTGTTGTAATGGCTACATTACAAGATACAACACATGAACAGTTTATCATTCTTATGTACGAGATTGGCTTCATTAGTCCTTAGTTCATTTGCCATTTTAATTCCAGTGTCATGTCGACCACCGACAAGTTTTTCTTGGACAAGCTTGAGAAATTCTCGATTATTATAATGTGATACAAAAATTATATTTATATCACCTTTACTTAAATCCCACAGTCTAATACAGGCTTAATTTTTAATAAGAATCCCCATTATTTATTAAATCACATACTCCACTTTCTAACGTAAATTATCCGTGAACACATCGATAAATAATATTCTAGTTTGTAAGCGCTCATAAATGAATCATGAAATCTTATTTTATAATGGCCTATGAAGACCAAGATGTTGTTACAAGAAGACTTTTGACTTATTGTTAACTTGATATTTTATCATTCTTGCTATTCACACAGATAATGCACTACGATATAAATAATAACAGAACACTCTACAGAATTTAAGCGTATTTTTAAGTTTTATAAAAAATTTAATCGGATACTTTTATTTGCAGTTTTTTGCAGTATCACTTATTCACCTAGAAAATTTCGAGGACTATCATTATGTCATTGTTTTTGCTTTAATTCCCCTCTTCTGCAGTCGTCTGCCTCAGATATTCCGTTGCATGTCCAGACACACTCTACGCTTGTCTCCGTTTACTTCTTCATCTGAGCAACCTGCTTTATCTTTCTCTCGTCCTCCGCCTCTCGTCACGTGGGCGCTCCAGGTTGAGTCTGGTTTGTGTCTTTGGCGTAATACAGTAGCCGACTTGGCGCGGTCCACTCGTCTACTTGATCTTCGAGGCTCTCGATTCCCTGCCCGCCTTCTGCACAGTGTTATTTCAGGCTCATATAAGGGTCAAACCAAAATTCAGGCTGAGGTCGAAGATGAGAACTTCACTAAGGCTACAGTAAAGGCATGGCAAGCTGAAGTGACAGCATTACAGCAGCGCAAACGTATGGCTCTTACAGATTGCTGCAAACGGCTTGCCAGTGTGGAATCCGGGTTAGTTTGTATTAGAATTGGCAAATATATTTATTCGGGAATCCAGGGACCAATAAAATCTCTATTAAGAGTCTGCATTACTCCATAGTCATCCGTCGTTTTCGAGCCATTTGTTCTTTGAGCTTTGTTTGCACATAAAAATAGTGTTGTTCCGTTTTTAAAAAAGTTCGGAAAAATACAGGATTTGCCTTTAGACAAACTGGTTGCTCAGCCTTAGTGATTGTTTGCTGTCGCAGTGTTCGTTCGCTAATTTCATGCTTGTCAGGTCTTGAACAATGTTTCTTTTTCTAAGGTATGAAGATCAAGATGGTGTGGCCTTTTGTGTGGTCGCAGTCTCCTTTCGTTCTATAGAAGTTGTTTGACC